GTTTTTTTTTTAATTAAAAAAAAATGTTTATTTATTTTTGAGAGAGAGGGAGAAAGTGACAGAGCGCGAGCAGGGGAGGTGCAGAGAGAGAGGGAGACAGAGAATCCGAAGCAGGCTCAGGCTCTGAGCTGAGCTCTCAGCGTAGACCCCAATATGGGGCTGGAACCTATGAACTGTGAGATCCTGACCTGAGCGAAGTCTGTGGCTTTAACCAACTGAGCCACCCGTGTGCCCCATACCCTGAGCGCATTTTAGACTCCTCTCCCACCCCCAAACAAGACAGAAAACAACTATACAGTTTGAGGGTTTTGAGCTTCCAGGCTTTCTGAAGTGTTAGGCGAGGAGAATCAACCCAATTTTGGCACTCTTAGAGGGTGCACTGAAGGGCTTGGCGACTTGTTCACTTGACTTTGTGACCTTTGGCAATGTGGAACTCTGGTCTAGTGAGGGCTAGCTTAATCATTCCAAGATCTCCTCCCTGTGGGAGCAGCAGATGGGAAGTGACTGCAGTCCCATCCTCCAAACACAAGGCTGCTGCAAATAAAAATCACAAAATATATTTACTTTTCACCTAACTATTGACTGTACAAATTAAGTTTTATTACAAGACCCCTCTTCAAAAGCGAGGTTATGGTTTTAAGAATAACGGCTTAGACTGTGATGGAAATGACAGGAGGAATAGAGCCATGTTAATCATGTTAATGAAATCCAAGGAATTTCATTATTTCCTTTATATTCTAAGACGACTCCCTCACTTCACTTTGTATTTATAGACTGAAATAATGAAGGAAATTGTATCACTTTTTTTTTTTTTTTTTTTTTTTTTTTTTTTTTTTTACCCACAGGAAAAATGACCAGACTTCCTGTAAAGTAACCATAGTTACAGAACATCTAAGTTAAGACTACAAATTTAGTTGTTGAACTAGAAAAGTTGGTTTCCAGGAGTTCCAGGATATACAGCAGGCCATGACAGTACCTTGGGTTGGGGATCTGGGGGGATGAGTGAAATGGAAGTTAATGAATTGTCTCTATCTCTGCGAAATGCTGTGCCTTGTGTTTATGACTTCTTAGTCACCCACATTCTTCTCGAAATGGGATTTGGGGCTTTTTTGTTTGCTTCTGGACAAACAAAAGAGTTTATTAGGTCTGTATATGTGTGTCATTGATCCCTTTGAGAATTTGACGTAGCTGTGGACTTCTTCCTCCCAAATGGCTATACGCATGTTTGCATAGATTATGCATATAATTTCAGAGGATTCACAAGCACAGACACTAGATTAAGAATCCCTGTGTTGAGGAATGTTTGTTTGTGTATATAAATGCGTATGTATGTATATGTATATGCTTATATGTATGTATATATGTATTTAGAGAATATAAATATATATTTGAAATTCTGAGAGTTTCTAGAGTTTTATTTCTAGATAATGATCAAATAAGTTGAACTTCCTGCTCATGACACTTATGACTTATGATGTTTTATAAGACAAGAACTACTTCTAGAAGTTCTGGGACAGGGTAGCATTGATGTTTTTATTAGGAATGTGATAAAGATGCAACAAGAGGGGCGCCCGGGTGGCTCATTCGGTTGGGCGTCCGACTTCGGCTCAGGTCACGATCTCACGGTCCGTGAGTTCAAGCCCCGTGTCGGGCTCTGTGCTGACAGCTCAGAGCCTAGAGCCTGCTTCGGATTCTGTGTCTCTCTCCCTCTCTGCCCCTCCCCTGCTCAAGCTCTGTCTCTGTCTCTCTTAAAAATAAATAAACATTAAAAAAAGAAAAAAGATGTAACAAGAATGGTTCAGGTTTCCACATTAAGTTATATCGTTAGCAAGCAGAAATACTCATACCAATATGCCAAGGCTTGAACACTATGGAAGAAAGATATTTTATGCCCTTTAGGAACTTAATTAAAAAAAATTCTAAATAGATCTGTAGTGGCCAGGAGGTAGTAAAGTTGTCCAGCTGGTTACATGTGGGGCAGGGGATGGGAGTGGGGGGTTGTGTGTGTGCGGGGAAGGGGGAGGATTTAAGTCCGTGCCTTCTGTCTTATGAGGGAGGAGTCTTTCACAAGGCTTATTTGATATAGAGCTGTTTGAGTGGTGCCCCCACCCCCAGGCCTGCAGTACCCCGGGGCACTTTCCTAAATTAAGACTTTCCTGCAGATGGAGGAACTGGAGCAAGGTCTGTTGATGCAGCCATGGGCGTGGCTGCCACTCGCCGAGAACTCCCTCTTGGTCAAGGCTTATATCACCAAGCAGGGCTATGCCTTGCTGGTTTCAGATCTGCAACAGGTGTGGCACGAACAGGTGGACGCTAGTGTGGTCAGCCAGAGAGCCAAGGTAAGTGTGACAAGAAGTCTGGCGGTGGGGCGGTTGTGGGTATGATTTCTGTCTCAGTGGAGGTCAGGGTACATTCACACCAACCAGCGTACTGGCCTGTAGGTTGCCAAGGGAGGTCAGATCAGGTTGAGACAGTTCCAATGAGTGTCCTGCACTTCTACCCAAAGCCCTGGGATCTTTCCATTTGGTTGTACGTGTGTTCGTTTCTGCACGGCATGCAGTACACGCACGATTGTGAAGGAGGCCAGTTGCTCTCTCTTTTTGTTTTCTTCTTTCCTGTTCCTGTGTCTTTTTTCCCTCCCTTCTCATGCCCACTGTCTTCATGTTAACGAGCTTTCCTTTGCTGTTACGGAGTGGGGAGTCAGTTTCCTTTTAGTAGTCTCACTCTGTATGACCCCTGCTGTCTTTTTAGGAGCTGAACAAGCGCCTGACTGCCCCTCCTGCAGCTTTTCTCTGTCATTTGGATCATCTGCTTCGCCCATTGTTGAAGGACACTGCTTGCCCTGGCAAAGCTACCTTTTCCTGTGATCGTGTGGACGAGGCAATGATACTACGGGTGCAGAGTGAGCTCTCTGGTCTCCCTTTTTATTGGAATTTCCACTGCATCCTAGCTAACCCTTCCCTGGTGAGTGCAATTCAGATATGGGGTGGGAAAGGGGAATGCCAGCTGCTTTGAAAT